GTACCTTACGTACAATGGCATGTATTTTCATATATCCCATGTACATCTTCCAGTATACTTTCAATCGTTGGAATGTTACTTATATACCTAATACAATGCCTACAATCACTTCATTCTCATAGATTTCAGCTTACTATATGGTATTCTGCATCAGGCAAATTCAAATTTTGATTTTTGAAACTTTCTGGAATTTTTTTTTCAATATTTTTCATCTGTGACTGAACCAGCAGACACAGAGGGTGAACTATTCTCTGCCTCAGATGGAGGTGCATGGTAAATATAAAATGAATCATACAATGGTTAAAAAGGACATATTAGTGCAAGACTTCCCCTTGCTATATAAATAAGAATCTGTCGGAGGATGGAGCCTTACCCAGTATGTCAGGACAGTGCAGGAGCACCCAGGACACATAGAAGGTACAGGCTCACCAATAGGAAAAAGTATTGTTTGCAGCCATCTATGTTATAGTCAGCAGCTGGAAAATACTGGAACTGCATCTTGAGTAAATACACACATTGAGGTACAGGCATCTAATAGGATATAATATTGCAATGAAAATGAGCAAAGGAGAACAATGTACACCACCATGGATAAATTTCACAAACATCAAGTTGAGTAAAAGTCACCGGTCTTTTACACACAGTATGATTCGACTCATGTAACATCCAAAATCAGGCAAACTTTCTCTAAGTTATTAAGGGATATTCCCCCACGTGTATAAATCCACAAACAGACTTTATAAATTATGATCACAGAAGTGAGAATAACTGGTACCTTCTCCTGTGGAGAAGGAGAAGTGGGGAGGAGTTGCTCTGGGAGGGCCACTGGGAAATGGCCACTGGGGAGCTGGCACCCCATGCTTCTCGCTTTGAGTGGGGGTTCTATCTGTGTTCACTTTATAGGTTGTATTTAAATCCTGCATGGGAGGGTGGTACTTCAAAATACTTGTGGGAAAATGGAATTAAAAATAAGTTTAGGGCCGGCACCACAGCTCAATAGGCTAATCCTCCACCAGTTCCGGTCGGGGTGCCGGATTCTGTCCCGGTTGCCCCTCTTCCAGGCCAGCTCTCTGCTGTGGCCAGGGAGTGCAGTGGAGGATGGCCCAAGTGCTTGGGCCCTGCACCCACATGGGAGACCAGGAGAGGCACCTGGCTCCTGGCTTCAGATCAGCACAATGCACCGGCCGCGGCGGCCATTGGAGGGTGAACCAACGGCAAAAAGGAAGACCTTTCTCTCTGTCTGTCTCTCTCTCTCTCACTATCCACTCCGCCTGTCAAAAAATAAATAAATAAATAAGTTTAGGGGCAGGCATTTGGCAGCTGCATCCCATATCAGAGTGCTTGGGTTTGAGTCAAGACATGAAGCTCCAGCTTCATGCTAATGTGCACCCCGGGAGACAATGGGACCAGGCACTGGTGTCTTTTCCACCCTGGTGGGCGACCTGGCTCCTGGCTCCTGGCTCCTGGCTCCTTGCTTCAGCCTGGCCCGGCCTCAGCTGTCACGGGCATTTGGGAAGTGAACCAGCAAATGGGAGATAATTTATAATTCATTCTCTCGCTCTCTGCCTTTCAAACAAACAAACTTTTTTTAAAAAGCTGGCAGTACATTTTTTAAAAGGTAACTTTATGTCGGTGCAAAACATATTGACATCTACACAGTTTTTTTCATAATTCACATTTGCCATGAACTTTTTGAAGAACACTGAGCTTGAATGCATGGATTTCAATGCTTCTGCACCTAAATAAACTTATCTTTTAATTCTAATTTCCATGAGCTTTTTTTTTGGTTCATATGTGCTTTATATAATATTCTAGATATGAGCTCTATCTCCAGTTTTGAAAAATTAAAGTCATCTGAAATGAACAACTCCAGAGGTCCAGCTCCTTGACTTTATAGACTTGATAGACACTTGATAGACACTCAAAGAGGTTAGGAGGCTTCCCCAGAGCCACAGGGTGTGTTTCTGGTTAAAATGGCACTGGACTGAGACATCTCCTAACTCAGGTCCTCTCTTCCCCTCCATCCCTCTGACAAGGAAGGGCAAGGAGGAGCACAGCTTTGTTTTGTGAGAAAAGAACAGGCGAGCTGATATGATAAACAGCTGGCAAATATGCTGAGGATTGAAGACTCTTTCCACAAGGAATTTTTAAAAGATTTACTTATGCTCCCAATATCCTAATAATGACTGTAATAATCACAACAATGCTAACATCACACACACACACACACACACACACACAAATCTGCTGTGATCTAGTGAGACTCTGGCTCCGTCTGATTTGCAGATGGTATCAGATGGAGTGGGTTTGAGGGGCCAGGCCAGGGGAGGAAGGACAGGGAGCCAGGATGTCTGCGATTTTATTGACTTATCCACCTGGCCTAGGTGAGACCCCTCGCCCTGGGACAGTCAGGAAAGGAACCTCTGCTATCTCTCTGAGAGCTTTTTTGTTTTGTTTAGAGGTCAATTACTTCCCATTTGGGGAACTTGTGAACATTAAGAGGTGACTGGAGTGACGGGTCTGAACGATGCAGATAAGAGGCTGATTGCTTACTGAGCTGCTCCCTGGTAAAAGCCCTGCCTGGGATAAGCAGTCTGTTGGGAAAGGACACACAAAAAGGGGCAGCTTTCAGTGGGAAGGAGAGATTACAGAGACGGAAGGCGGGCGGCTGGGGTGGGCGTGATGAGCTGGGAGACGGATGGATGCGTTTTAAAGTGATCTTGACAGGCAGAGAGTGAGGAGCTGGGAGAACTGAGCTCCCCTTCCCTCTCCTTTTCTTTAGAAAGAACTTGTTGCAGTCATGTGAATCTCACACTTTCTCACCGTGGCCTGAAGAAAAGAAAATACATGGATTGTACATAGACAATGTGAATATATACTGAAACAAGTCAGAGAAACAGACCTTCCATCATTGGTTCACTCCCCCACATGTCTGCAACAGCCGCCCCTCAGTTCAGATCTCCTCCATGGGTGACAGCGAGCCACACACTTAAACCATCACCTGCTGCCTCCCAGGGTACACATTAGACTGAAGCTGGTTCAGAAGCTGGTGGATAAGGGAGTCAGAATTCAAGCCAGGCACTCTGATATGGGATGAGGCTTCCACATAGTGTCTTATCCCCTGCTCCAGTGCCCACCTCCATTGAGCCAAATACAATTCACAGCATTCCAGGGAGCATAACCAAAAATGTGGCTGACCATGGGATCTTAGGTGTACATTTAAGCACCACCCCTCCTACCACCCACACCTTTTCGGTCAACTGAAGGCAGTCAACAAATTCCCATAAGCTATTTTGAATTCTATCTCAAACATTTCTAAAATATGGCTCTGGCTTTGGCATAGCCCCATGGACATTTCTCCATTCCCAAATCTTAGATTTTCCTGAAACTGATCCCAGCTGGCAGTGTCGTCCCACAATAATCACCAAGATTAACGCCCTCATCTCTTTGGCCCTCTGTAAGTGCCCCAGCTCACGCCGGATTTTCTTGCTGTCTATAGAGAGCTTATGTTCTGTCTGTTTGACATGCGGCATATACCACCTTGTATTTTTAGATACATTACTCATGTTGGTCTTTGCTCTCCAATTAGTTCCTTAAGGGTTGTTGCCAAATCTTATTTTCTTTTGTGTCCCAACCAGGAAAGTGCAGCAAGGACTGAGCCACTGAAGACTGAACTCAGCCTCTGCTCTCCCCTTCACGGATAGCCTTGGCCACATCATTGCTTTTTTTCCCATGCTTCTCCAGGTGGTACACAAAATTATGGAGAGAGCATGGGAGTCTCACGTGCCCTAACTCAGGAGGCAACACCTATGTGTAACATCGGATTCTGCTAACTGCAGCTTCTCTTGCTTTTCTATGTTGGAAGGGGATGAGAGGGTCAAGGAAGTAACATTTACTAGTAAGGAATTAATAGTTTTTATTAGTTTATTAGTTTACTATTAATTCCTTACTCTGTGTAGAGTCATCCCACCATGACCTTCACTTCTGGGGTTGGGAATCTTGAAGCTGAAATGATTTTTTTAAAATTAACATACACTGTCTAGTGATGTTTTGGTTAACATTGGGTCACATATATACTAGTTCCTTATATTATAATGATAAATTCCTTTGGTCTAGTATTTTTACTGTGCTTTCACCATGTTTGGAAGTAAAATACCATTGTGCTATGACATCCTACAGTGTTCAGTACAGTAACATGCTGTCTCAGAGTAATAGGCCATATCACGTAGCCTAGGTGTGTAATAAGCTGTACCTCTACCATGTTCACACAGTGACAAATTGCCAATGCTGTATTTCTCAGAATGTGACCCACCCCATCATTGACTCATGACTGCACAGAGCTTTAGCATGTGACGTTAGAAAAATTTAATTCAGTCCAGCAACTGAGAGCCAGACAGACCGTAATTCAGCAGCAACGTTCAAAGGAAACTCACCTGCCATGAATCCAAGGCAAGTGTCCAAGGTAACCTCTCTTAGAAGAAATAGCCTTGAACATGAGAGAATCACAAGTGACACTGTATGACAGTTCTCTCATGGGGAGATCTTACCTCTAATCTCTATTTGCTTTCCCTCAATTTAGTTGACCAAGGAATATTTCCTAATATTTCCAAACTTGAAGCACACATATTGCACTTTTTAAACCCAGATTGGACAACACTAACTATGGTTGAAGGACACTGTTGGTGTTTCTAAATATACCTTTATTAGCAATGAAGATGAGAAGTAAACAGGAGAAGTGATAAAAACAAAAAGGAGAGGAATTGGAAAGGGTAGTAAGAAAAAAGAACAATTATTCTTTTGATTTTTAGCTCAAACACATAAACTGGGTACTGACCCAGGCATAGTTTATAAGGACTCAAGCAGGCTCTGTTTCCAACTTTAGTGAAAACAACCAGGGCATATTCAGGAATGAGAAAATGTTATGGGAAGTACACTTTAATTAAATATGAGAAGTTACTAAACAATAGATTTCAAGCTCTGATGAGCCAGGGGTCCAGGAGCATGAAGAACCAGAGATTTTATTGTTTAAAAATGTGATCCAAGACGGGAGGCTGGGGGATTAGAACCAGATATTCAACTAAACATGTACCAGCGCCAAACTTCCTCTGTGATCCCGTCTTTCCATTACTACAATGAATTTGTTCCCGCTTTTCAGATAGTGTGACCTCAGACACATTGTCATGAGGTTGTCAAAATGTCATCACTGTAGGAACCCTAAAGTTCAGGCTTTCTACCCATCTGGTTAGGACGTAGGGCCACGAGGGGCTCCTTTCCCAGTCTCCTTTCAGAGACTGATTCTATTCTGAAAGAACACCTGTAAAGAGGAAGTGAGGAGTGTGAAACAGGCGCTCAGGTTGCCCGCCTGCAGGGCTGAGCCAGCTTCGTTCCCCTAGAACGCCTGGGCTTCGTTTTTTATTTTAATTCGAGGTTTAAGGCTCTGTAGAGAGCAGATCCTAATGGCCTGCGCTGACACGTAGTGTATGCTGACACAGACGCCAAGCACACACGGATATGTAGTGCAGGAGGTAGTTAGGAGGAGCTGTGCTGTATACAAAATGCAGTGACAGAGGACAACCGGAATGTGGGTACTCTGCCAGGAAAGCAGTGGCCAGAAAAGAGCGCTCTTTGCTGCATTATTAGGGTCCTCAGGGACACAGCCCTTAGAGAGCATTTAAACCCTGCAGGAGGGCATGGTTCGCAGCAGGGGTCCCTCAGGGGTCCTCCACCTCCCGGTTCCCGCACCCCTCTCCCTCTTCCCCGCACCTGTTCCTTTGATTGGAGGCTGGGCGCGCTCTGCACCACTTCCTCCCATCACACACTCCCCGGTGCCTTGGGTTGCGGTACGCAAAATAAAGGGAATCTCGGGTCTGCGGGGGAAAGTCCTCTGCCGCCGGCACACTGCCAGCCGCCCTGGGTTTTCTTCTTTTCCTGTACTGCTTCGACGGGGTTAGTCCCTCGGGGAAGAAAGTCCCAGGGCCTTGGGCGGGACGGCCGTTCAGGTTCAGGGGAGGTTCGCTGTCCCAGATCCGGTCGGGGAGGAGCGCCGCTGGGCCTCGAGTTTCCTCCTCCGCAGCGGTCCGTCACCTGCGCGGAGGTGGAGGGTACCGAAGCACCGCGTCCTGGTGGGCGCCTCACCACGCCCTGACGCCCTGCAGCGTGGCGGGCAGATGGTCCTGCGGAGTGACGCTGCGGCTTCCTGGGCCGAAGCCCGGACCGGCCAGTGGCGTGGGACCTGGGGTCGCGCTGCCGTAGCAACCGCTGTAGCCCGCGCCGTACGGGGCGCTTGCGTAGCCGCCGTAGCAGGTGTAGGGGGCTGCTGCGGCGCCATAGGGGTCGGAGAAGGCAGGCGCACCGGGACCCAAGCAAGGCTTGCCGTCGCGCACCAGTACGGGCACTGCTACCCGGCGCGGAGCAAGCGGGTGGCCGGCCAGTTCCAGCGACTTGTCCTGGCGCTGCCTCTTGCACTTGTAGCGTCGGTTCTGAAACCAGATTTTGACCTGCGTGGACGTGAGCTGCAACGCGCTGGCCAGGTGCTCGCGCTCGGGCGCCGATAGGTACCGCTGCTGCTTGAAGCGCCGCTCTAGGGCCAGCACCTGGGCTTGCGAAAAGAGCACCCTGGGCTTCCGCCGCTGCCGCCCCTTGGGCAGCTCGGCGCCGCCACCGCGCACATTGTCGCCGCCGCTGCCGCTGCCGCTGCCACTGCCGCCGCCGCTTCGCTCCGGCACCGGCACCGTAGTCGCACCGCGGAGGGGCGAGGCCACACTCAGATCAGGCTCTGAAAGCACAGGAAGGAACGCCGTCAGCACCCATCCCGAGGTGCACCAAAGCAATTCTTACAACGTTTTCAAGAGCGCCCTCTCTCCCCCGCTAGCCTCACTCCCGTCGCAGGCGTGCTGACCATTCCCCTGCCCAAGCTCGTACCTGCTGGAACGCAAATTATGACTTCGACGGACCCCGCTGTACTTGTCTTTTCCCCAGAGGCAGACCCTCGATCCAGTTTATAGCACCTCCGCTTTCTTCTTGGAATATTATGTACATGAGGCAACTTTTTTTTAATTTATTTTTTAAAGATTTCTTTATTTGAGAGAGAGAGAGAGAGAGAGACAGAGAGAGAGATCTTCCATCAGCTGGTTCACTCCCCAAATGGCCACAAGCCAGGAGCCAGAAACATCTCCGCGCGGGAGGCAGGCTTGGCAGGCAGGGGCTTTACCGCTACGCCACAAAGTCCGCCCAACTTCTGCCACAAGGATGGAGTATGAATGTGGGGGCCTATGAGGTTGGGGTTATCTTTGGGCTGCCCTTCGGAGGAAGGGCTAGGGGAGAAGAGGAGGTGGGGGGTGAAGAGGGGAGAAGAGGGAGAGATGGAGAGAGAGAGAAACGGACAGAGACTGATGACTGGAATCCTCAGAAGGTCCAGGCTTGGACAAGCACAAGGCGGGCTCGCGCGCACAGCAGGAGATCAGCCCCAGGCCGTCCGCGGAATCCCGAGTGTGGCCCAGCTGCACACAGCCTCACCTTTGCGGTCATCACTGCTCCACCCACACCAGGGACGCATCCATTTTAGACGCGATGCTCCGTAATCCAGATTAACAAAATAAGGCGAACATATTTCCGCACTCGCCACGGGTTTTCTGCAGCGGATTCTACACACACTCACCTCCCCGGGCGCTGTCAGGCGAAATGGACGCTGTCTTTGAGGGCGATATAAAATTGAGATCCACATTTGGCTTCCTTCCTTCCTTCTCTCTCTCTCTCTCTCTCTCTCTCTCTCTCTCTCTCTCTCTCTCTCTCCTCCCGCCCCCCTTTCTCTCTTTCTTTCTTTATTAGCGGCCGCCTCCCCCTTTGGGGTCTTCCTGACAAAGGAGTAGTCCCGGCTTCACCCTGGAGTCCTCTTTTTCCCGGGAGCGGCTCCCAACAGCAGCGGCCTTTTCTTCCGTTCTTCCCTTCGCTCTCCTGTCTACAATTAGCTGTTTTGCTCTAAGGATAGGTACAGAGGAAATCTTGAGTTGTGCTGGACACTCGCGCCCAGAGAAAACTTGGGCGGGGGGTGCAATTGGTGGTGACGCAGGGCGGCGCGCGCCTAATTAGACCCAGTGCGGGCTGGAACCCGCCTTCGAATCCCCAGCTGCATTGGCACAAGTTCCTAGAGAATGGAACTGTTTCCTACCTAAAATTTGAGGCAAGAAAAACTCGCTTCATAGAGACCTGCTCAGAAAACCTGAAGCTATCTCCCCTCGCAAGGTGGAACAATACTGAGTCGGGTTTAATTTCTTAGCAAGTGAGAAATAAACAACTGCTCTTCGGTGACGCTGGGGAGCAAGCAGGAACCTCATGAACGTGGCTGACCACACGGGCTGGGCGGCTGCGCGCACCCAGGGCACGCGCCGGCACATTGCCCCCTCCCGGTCACAATTCGGGGCCCCACCTACCCTGGGTCCCTAAAAGCAAGGTGGCTTGGGCCGGGGGCGGGTGAGGCTCCTGAAGCCCTGCAGGCGGGTCTCCTTCCCCCAGAAGTGGCCATGGAGACGCCGCTCGGGTTTGCCAGCGGAGGAGGAACGCACTGCGCTTGCCTCTCTCAGCCTCTCTCAGCCGGGCTGAGGCGAGGGCTGAGTTCGCCTGACAGCGCCCGGGGAGGTGAGTGTGTGTAGAATCCGCTGCAGAAAACCCGTGGCGAGTGCGGCAAAGCCTCAGGTCCTCCAAGCTTCCGGAGTCCGGGAATAAACAGCTTGCAAGTCCGTGAGCTTCTCCGAACACCTCCTGGCCCCAGAGGCCGCATAGCCCGCGACGTGCGCCTCCGGGCCCCACTGACGTGCAGGGGTTTGGAGAGGGGACAGGGACTTTCGCATTCCTCGGTAAGTCGGGTCTCTCCCGCCCAAGGCTCCCGGGTCGCAGTAGCCAACGCGGCGCGTCTCCCCGCCTGCCCGCCCGGTCCCTGCCTGTCGGCAGGATGTCGAACACGCAGGGCGTAACACCTTCAGGACTCAGCCCCCATCTGGTCCCCACCTCCCGTTGTCGAAATGGGGAATCCGTGTACGGGAGTGGCGGTGCTGGCCAGGCCACTCGCCCAGCAGCTATGGGAAAGGGCCGGCCGCGGCGGACCCCACAGTCGATAGGGGTCCAACGCCTCCCTATGCTTCCCCCACCTCAACCCCGATAGCTTAGGGTAGGCAGAGACTGGGAGATGGCAGAGCAGGGTGGACTTAGCACAGCTGTGGGGACGTGGCTGCGGGAGCGACGCGCGGCTGGCAATGAGGGGCGGCCGTGGGAAGAGGGAACTCTCGCCTTATTTTGGATCAGCACTCCGGGTCGGGAGGAGGTATGAGTGGGAGCTGTGGGGCCGGCCTTTTGAGGAGAGGCCAGGACCCAGGGCACTAGCAGATGCATTTTCCCCACAGGCATAGATCCGTAACACCCCCGCCCCCGTGTTCCCGGCGTTAGAGCCTAGACCCGCGCGCCGACTCACGTGGCTCCCCCAGTGGTTCTCTGTCCATCTTCACCGATGCCTCACACGGAGCCCCAGGAGGCCTCGCGTCGCCGCCACTGCCGCCACTATCTCCGGCGCTGTGAATCCCCGGTTTTCGCGGCTCCGCATCTGTTCGCGGCCCTTGGGAGTTTTCAGGGGTGCGCTGCGCCCGGCGCCGTGGCGAGGCCAGGAGGCCGCCCTGCTCGCGCTGCGGCCGCAGGATGTCCTTGACGGAGAATGGGGTGGAGGTGACCGGACTCAGCAGCATCCCGCAGGCGGAGGGGGCGGGGCTGAGGGCTTTCGGGTCCCAGCGGAGCGCAGCGCCCTCAGCTTCCCGTCTTGTCGCTAGAAGTCCTGGAGATGGACCCTAGCGCTGGGACAGATTCGCGGTGTCCCGGACGGAGTCCTCCTCTGAGCCATCTCTGTTGGCCGAAGAACCCGCGCAGGGCACCGAGTCTGCAGCCCCCCATTGGTTCCGGCAGAAACCACGTGCTAACCCTGCACCTTCCTCCCTAAGCGCTTTTTTCCCGCGCCCTCCTAATCTTCCAGCCCCTAGCCACCTTCCGGGGAGGTTTCATTCTTATTGACGCTTCTCCAAAACCAAGAAAACGTGGAGCAACGTTGCCCGGCGCGGCTCGTATCTGCCACAGCACGGTGCACACGGGAGCTTCCGAGGTCAACCACGGATCCCCAGGACCCCCCCCCCCCCTTCCTCCCTGGAGGACGTGCGCGGATGGGGTGGAGTCCTCGCGGCGCAATCCGAGCCGGCCATCCGGACAGGTCCTTACCCAACTCCGCAGTCTGAGGCAGAGGAACGCGGAGGCAGGGACAGCCGGGCACCCCGGGGATTCCAGGTGCGCGCTGGAAATCTAGCGGGCGCCGGGCCGGACCGCCGAGGAGGAGCGAGTCTTGACCAGCCAAAGTCTTTATTAAGGTAGAAGCGTCTCTTAGAGGAGGCCACTTCCGGGAGCAGAGAGTCTCAGCCTTGGGAGCGAGGAAGGCGCTTAGAGTCTATAATCGTGTGTGTGTGGGCGGGGGGGGTCCCTGGAATCTGAGACGCCCGCCAGGGATAAGGTAGAGGGAAGGGCACAGTCCCCACCGCGCGAAGGTGCCAAGGAGAGGCTCACCTCGCCCGCCAAGTCCCCTTGTTACCTCTTCTCTCCTTTATCCTCGCTAAAGCTGGTTGCTGTGAACGTGAGTGAGCGTGTGTGCGCTAGTGTATACACACTGTCGCTCGCCGACAATGGGAGGAGGTTGTGATGAGCGTTCGCTCTCCAGAGAGGCTCCTGGGACGTGGCTGACTTAGTAAAAGGAGGCGGTGTGACGATGGTTAGGAGCCTGGAGATTGAACAGACGAACTTTTGCTCCCGAACATAACCGAGAGCTTTTGGGCAAAGTGTTAAGTTCCCGCAGCTTGGTTTTCATTAAAAAAAGAAAGAGAGAAAGAGAGAAAGAGAGAAAGAGAGAAAGAGAGAAAGAGAGAAAGGAAGGAAGGAAGGAAGGAAGGAAGGAAGGAAGGAAGGAGATAACGTCCAATTGTAGGATGGTTGCAGTAATTGAGAAGCCTACCATGAGAAAAAAATGATTTGATGCCTGCAGTCCCAGACAGAATAGAAGAGCATGTAAACTCTTTTAAAATCAAATTGGAATCTGTGCGGAGTTCTTTTTGGCATTTCAGATTGAATGCTTCTCAAACCTTCTGCAAATTCAAAGCTACAACTCCCATTTGTATGTTATTACTTCCTGAAATCCACATAGAAAACCCATCAGCTCCCCAGCCTAGTTTCAGCCACCAAGTCATGATTTCGGATGCACAGTATCATTTAATACTTACATGGAAGCTACCCCAGACTGTTCCCGCAGGGAGGGGGAGATCTGGGAAGTTTCGCATCTGCTGAAGTGGCTCAGCGCTTCTTGCCAGAGTGCATCCACACCAATAACTTGTCACAACCATAAGCCTTCTCTATTTTTTCTGAAATACACATCCTTTGCCCTCAAAACTCCATAATCTTGTGATGAACCATTAACTTTTCTCTGATTATGAAACTCATCATTCACAATCTGGAATAAATAGAAAATAGAGGAAAGATGAAACAACATCCAACAGGAGATAACATTTTAGTGCACTTCCTTCTCCATTTAACTTTGCATACATGAGTATGAGCTCAAAGGGCATAGGCGAACTTCTGTGTTTAAATGTACATCTTAAGCATGGCCAGAACCTGATTAGTTTTATAACACATACAATATTAAATAGCAATCTAATATTACATGTTATGGATGGACCATTACAGGTTGTGTTTATACTTTAGGTAAATGTAATGTTTCCCATCAATTTAAATAGCGATTTCTTTTGTGACTTCATCCTAGTACCTCTAGACTTTGTACCCTTACCTTGTCAATAATTTAGATTATTTCCTCTGGATACATTTGTAAAATAGACACTAGACAGTCAAATATTTCAGTGTTCATAAACGCATTATCACATGACTTCCCAGAAAAATGAGGTGCTGGGGTCCCTGCCCCCTCCCCAGGTTCTTGGGAACATCTGGTTGATGGGTATTTTCAACAACCCCTGGAAACACCTGACTCGGCGGTGGTCTTAGACTCACCTTCCCCTCGAGGAGCCAGACACACTCCACTCAGTCCCCGTCCCCCTTGCAAGGGCTAGGGACAGGAGGTGGGAAGACACCAAATAAAACCCAAAGTCGCGTAGCTGCCAGCGTGTGTTGCTGTGGCTGAATTTGGCAAACAGTTGCATTCTAGGAAGCCACGGAAGACCTTGGAAGCAACTTGGCATCAAAAACTCTGGGTTCAAATCCCATCCTTAAGCCCCTGGCCTTGCCATCCTGGTTTGCTGGGAAGACCAAATGTGGGTTTTCTTTTTCTTTTCTTTTCTTCCTACCCCCACCCCCAGGGGGACATGAAAAGCCTTTGTAGACCCTCGTGAGTGGTACCAACATGAGTCCTTGCATGGAAATCTGCTGTTTGGGCTTGGGCTTGGGCTCACCGGCGGAAATCCTGGGAGAAGGGTCCCTAGCCTGCTCGCCCGACCCCTTGCGGGAAGAGGCCGTCTTTTCCTCGCGTTGCGCCGAGGAGGCGGGAACTTGCAAGGAGAGTTGGGATCTCAGCTCCAGGCACTTCCTGCTCTCCCAGATCTCCCCCTCTTCACTGGGGTCCGGGGCTGTTCTTGTCCTTCGCTCCTGCCACTCACGCGCTAGGGGACATCAAAAGTCGCCCGCAGGCGAGTGGAACCAGTAACTTCAGCGGCTGGAGCGGGCGACCTGTCTAAGCCAAGCGAAGAGGAGACTAGGTAGAGCGGGAGCATAAACGCGTTGGGGAGTCGGACGCTGAAAGTCTGGGCTCGGTACAGCCGGGACAGTGCACTGCGCTGTGTGTCTCTTGCTCATGAGTGGAGACCGGGCTAAGGTTGCGGGTGGATCTACGGTGCTCCAACCCGGTCACGCAGGGAACCCACACACCAGAGCTGGGACTGCTGAAGATTAGGGTTACCTACTTTAAGCCAACTCCTGCGGGACTCTAAGGATACTGGGGAAACCAGGAATCTCAAAACTTTTATCTGAACTGACCTTGCCCGCAAGATAAACTTTAAAATAATGCCCATGCACTGTGATATCTTGCAGGATCATATGGAATTTGAAGGGATCTTTATTGAACTTCTTCTTAACTATCCATGGTTAACAAAAATCCTTTTCTCCTTTTTTTTTTAAACTTTCCTGAAATGAAGAGATTCCTCTTTGAAGTGGGGGTACACAATAGACTATTTCGGGTACAGTCTGGAGCTGGTGGGCACCAGGAGTTTTCAGGAAACTGATGTGAGTACCTGACCCCTGCTACAATAGACTAGACCTGGTTTCTGGGTCTGTTCTCACAGCTGTGTCTCCAGGGCCAGGACTAACCTGGCACAAGATAGGTCACCAACAAATATTTGTTAGATAAAGGTGTCTTCCCTGTTTGGCTGGGGACAGTCTCTAGCATACTGGCCCAGGGTGGGGGTAGGGGTGTCAGATCTGGCTCAATGAATCATCTGATAGCACTTTCTGCTTTGCATGATCCCCTTTGCTGGACCCATTTCTTGATACTATTGTGTTTGTTTTGTGAGTATGTGAAATGTTAACATGGTTCTAAAAGTCAAAATTATGCAATGCGATATGCTTATGGAAATGACACTACAGCTTTATTCCTCCTGTTTCCTGTTTCCGTACCCATCTCCTTTCTTTCCTGGTTGCTACACATTACCTATTTCAGCTTCTCCTTTCTGTGCTTTGAGTATTTTATGTTTATTTATTTTCATTTTCTTTGAAAGGCAGTGTGTGTGTGAGAGAGCGTGAGACAGAGAGAGAGAGAGAGAGAGAGAAACTTCCATCTGCTAATTCACACTCCAAATGCCCCATCCCAGCCAGGGCTGAGCCAGGTTGAAGCTAGGAGCCAGAACTCAATCCAGGTCTCCCACTTGGGTGACAAGGACTCAAGTACTTTAGTCATCATCTGATGCCTTCTAGAATATGATTAGCAGAAAGCTGGATCCAAAGCAGAGTAGAGTAGTTGGCATTCAGATATGTGAGGCCGGTAACATAAGCCCCTGGGCCAAATGCCTGCCCTAATTATTTTTTTTAATGTATGGTTTTCATTAATTTGAAAGGCAGTGAGTCAGTGACAGAGACATAGAGGGATTTTCCATTTGCTGATCACTCCCCAAATACCTGCAACAGGTAGGGCTAGAACTCAAAGTCAGGGGCCTGGAATTCAATTGTCTTCCATATTGGTGGCAGGGGCTCAACTACTTGTGATATCATCTGTTGCTTCTCTGAGTGTGCATTAGCAGGAAGCTAGAATGGGAAATGGACCTGGGACCTAGGCACTCTGGTATGGAAGGGGAGCCAAGTGCCTGTGATTTTAAAAAATTTTCTTTAGGGGCCGGCACTGTGGCACAGTAGCTTAAAGCCCCAGCCTGCAGCGTCAGCATCCCATATGGCACCAGTTCCTGTCTGGCTCTCTGCTATAGCCTGGAAGGCAGTAGAAGATGGCCAGAGTGCTTGGGCCCTGCACCCACGTGGGAGACCCGGAAGAAGCTCCTGGCTCCTGGCTTCCATTAGCTCAGCTCTGACTGTTATAGTTATTTGGGGAGTGAACCAGCATATCGAAGACCTCTCTCTGTCTCTCTCTGGCTCAACTTCTGTAACTCTGTCTTTCAGATGAATAAAATAAATCTTTTTTTAAAAGTCTTTAAAATTTTTCTTAAACAAATGAGAATATACATATACATATATATATATATTTCCCCCTTTTCCTTTTTTTGTACATAACAAGGGAGGTTAATATGAATAGCCCTTGATGTTCTAAAGCACTGACAAGCTTTAAGTTTTTGTATTGATATTCTGCTTCTGGTTGCTACTGTGTATGGCTGCTACTTCACAACACAGAGGATGTCACAGCTGCAGTGACAATACCTGTGCACTTTCTACTTATCTCTTCGCTCAGAACAAGTCATTCCATGTCTATGATATATTTGGGACACTGAGAATCTCCCACTAGTTGCCACTGTCATCGCAGGTCTTCATAACCTTATATTCACAGGGTATATAGTTTTAAAGGAGGTCCTCTCAGAACAATTTTGGATTTTCTCATCTTTCTTTCAAATGATGGCTTTAGCTCTTTCCATCACA